GGTTTGAATACACCCAATTTGTTAAACTGGTGGTAACCAGACGTCTGTTCGTCAAGTATAACCAGAGCCTCGCCATTCTTGGAGTCATCGGCAATGAGCTGAATCAGAGCTTTAGCAATAACCTCTGGTCTAGAAAAGAAAAATAACGTTATTCCCATCGTCATCGTATATCATCTAATATACTTGCTAGTGATTTTGAATGATTTAGCTCGCAGCGAGGTTGTCTAATATCGACTACCTAAGACTCGCTCCGAGTTTCCCTCGCTTTTTATTCCTGTGTGATGACAAAATTCCCGTGGAGTGACATTCAGTGTTATGGTGAAAAGGGGAGAGAGATTTGTGTATAATTTTCAMTAATTGAGTCGAACGTTCGAGAGGGGTGTGGGTCTGGTCAGCTGACCGCTTGACAGTCTGTCAGGGTATCTGTGTATCATGTCGAGTTTTGTTCTGTTTGCTGCGTCACCGGAAGTGCACACGTACTCCTAACACAGACTCGTACCCAGTCGTTTCTCTTACTCGTTTTACGGGTCGCGGTGCATCAAGGGAAGTCCGAACTACCGGGCTTACTTTTTCTTTCGACTTCCCTTGATCCTTTTCGCGCGCCATAGAAGTGAAGAGTAACGACTGGGTACGAGTCTGCTCCTAACAGACACAGAKCAAATGTTTCTCTTCTTTTCAAATGTTTCTCTTTCTTCACTGTGCCGAGTACATTGCAACTAAGGGGCAATTTTTTATAATCGCTTGAGAAAGAGAGTTGGAACAAATCTACCTTGGCCTAGAGCGACAAATTAATAATATAGTAACTTTTAAGTTACTATAATATAAAAAAAATTATTAAAATATCCTGATATCATGAAAAAAAAAACATGCACCCACTTCATCAACGGTTGTTTGGGCACAATAGCGGAATCCTCCATTGCTTTYCTGAGCATGGGCGTATCTGTTCCATGGGGACAAAGACAATTGACTCGTATGCCCTTTTCCACAGCTACCTGCAAAATGTATAGTATTCCGAGTATGAGCTCCGAGACTTATTGAAACTAATGAACCTAATATTAATAATTAGGAAGTCCTTCACTAACCGGCATTCAATGCGGTCGTGGATTAGATTGTTTTCATACTCAAAATAAGGCGACACCAAACATCCCAATCCGTTTCCATCCCTTGGGTTTAAGATGAGGGTCATGAAAGAAAGGGGGGGGAGGCGAATTCCTTTACATGTTCGGACAACTCATATTATCACACCAGTTTTGTTCAATCCCATTTCCAGTTTTTATTGTTCTTGTAATTCTAAGACTACGTTCACACGGGGCCGGTCGAGTTTGAGGACACCTCTGTTTTAGGACAGTTCCCACTCTTTACACAGAACCGTCCACATTTCGGTAAGGATTGAAGCAGTATTCACACGGATCCGTTCATGCTTCGAAGTGACCTGTCTTCAAAGTGGAACGTCTTTCTAGCCGGCCCCAAACCTGAACACTTTGCCAGCCTTAGATGAGGCCAGTTCCAGAGTTCCAGTGTGAACGCGCGCCTAAAATAGTACGGTTCCGAACGGAACCCGCGGCCCCGTGTGAACATAGCCTAAAATCCCAGTCAAAGCGC